GCCAAGGTGGGCAGACAGCAGGACTAGGCGGGGTGGCCGCTGGCTGGTCAGCCTCGCCAAGCAGCAGCGCCACAGTGAGCTGGACCACCTATGGCTGGAGACGGTGAGTGGGGGGCTGGGCTGGGAGGCTTCCCAAGGGAAGGGGCTGGGCTGGTGTGTGGCAGTGGTCTCAGGGTGGTGGGGGCAGACTCTGTGCCCGCCAGGAAGGCTCATCCTCCTCCTTTTTTTTTGGCTCCAGCTGCTGTGTCTGATCGGGGAAAGCTTTGAGGAGCACAGCCAGGACGTGTGTGGGGCCGTCATCAACATCCGAACCAAGGGGGACAAGATTGCTGTGTGGACGAGGGAGACAGAGAACCAGGAGGGCGTGCTGCGCATTGGGTGAGGGGTATCTCTGGCACAGGGTGGGGGCTGTGTCTCTTCTAGGAGAGAAGGGGAAGGTGGTGGAAGGGGCGTGGTTTGGCCTGCAAGGGAGACCTCTGGAACTCTGCATGCTGTTCTCTCCCTTCTTTCTTCCCCACTTGTGTAAAGGGTGTGGCATCTCAATTTCAAACTGTTTCTTAACAGACCTCTTTTCCTTTGCACTAAGCACATTTTGGGTTTCCACATGGGTAAGACAAATACAACAGGAGTTACCAGGGTAGGAGCTCTGAGCAAAGGACCCAGGGTCCCACGTTATCTCCAGGACCTGCTGCTGACTGCCTGCCTCCTTTCCTCTCCCACTTACCTCCCAGGCGTGTCTACAAAGAGCGCCTGGGACTCTCCACAAAGACCATCATTGGGTACCAGGCCCACGCAGACACGGCCGCCAAGAGCAACTCCCTAGCCAAGAACAAATTTGTGGTGTGAGGGGACCCTGGCACCACTGCCCATTTGGCTGCCCCTGAGTCTCCCACTGCTGTGTGTGTGTGTGTGTGTGTGTATAAAAGGGGCTGGGCTGGGGGCAGATGGCATGGTTCTCACCTATTCTGGAGTGAATACGAACACTCTTTAATGTGAATTGGGGCCCAGGCCTAGGGGCAGTTCTGGTGGGGTACCCAATGTGAGGGACCAGGGCAACGGAACGGTGGAGGAAAGCCTGGGCTTGTTTCACCCTGGGGGTTGGGTTGGGTAGAGTGGGGTGAGGTGAGTTATTGGTGGGAGGAGGGCTCAACTGCAGGTGGAAAGATAACAGGAGAGAATCCTAGGATCCAGGCCTTTCTCCGTGCTCCCTACCTCGGGGAAAGAGGCTAGGTGGCCTGAGGGCCAGACTCTTCCATTTTGGGGGAGGGGGCTCAAGGCCGCTGACCCAGAGCTGGAGCTCAGGGACAGGAGTGGGGGGCTCTCTCGAATGATCACTCTGCTTTAAAAACTTTTATGGATTGCCTCTCTTCAGATTTGTAGCCTTGGAGCCTACCCTGTATCCCACACCTCCCCTCAGCCAGCTGTGCGTGGGTCCCTAGAGGGGCGGGAGCGGGGGCGGGGGCGACTGATGAGGCCCTGGCCCAGGAGAGGTGGTCAGGCCTTACTATGGTTCTGCTAGACGATGATTAACTGGAAGGTGATGAAGCTTAAGCCCCTTTCTGTTTCCTAAATAAATACTTTTAAACAAAACCAGAATTATTTTTAAAGAGGACTCTAAAATTGAGTAAAATTCAGGCCCCTCTAACCTTGATCTGCTCTAGTCCTGCCTTGAGAGGGCTCATGTGAGACCCCCCAGGTACCAAGGAGCCTGATCAGGGTGGAAGCTGGTAGGGGGGAGAGGGGTTAGACGGTGGGTGGGGGGCTTTAACCCCCAAAGGGGCTTGAGCCAGGGGATGCAGTATATGCCCCTGGCAAAACTGAAGGGGCAGGGAGCAGCAGGAGTGGCCCTCACAAGACCCAGGTGTCATCCGCTCTGAGTTTGAACCAGTAGAGGTAGAACTGAATTTCTGGGGCTTTCCTGGTGGCACAGTGGTTAAGAATCCGCCTGCCAGTGCAGGGGACATGGGTTCGAGCCTAGTCTGGGAAGATCCCACATGCCGCAGAGCAGCTAAGCCCGCGAGGCACAACTACTGAGCCGGCACTCTAGAGCTGGTGAGCCACAACTACTGCAGCCTGCTCTGCAACAAGAAAAGCCAGCCCGATGAGAAGCCCACTCACAGCAACTAGAGAAAGCCCGCGCGCAGCAACGCAGCCCCAACGCAGCCATAAAATAAATAAATTAAAAAAAAAAGAATTTCCATCCAGTGAGGAGCGCTTTTTTAAAAAAATTATTTTTATTGGAGTATAGTTGCTTTACAATGTGTTAGTTTCTACTGTACAGCAAAGTGAATCAGCTATACGTATACAAATATCCCTCTTTTTTGGATTTCCTTCCCATTTAGGTCACCACTGAGCATTGAGTAGAGTTACCTGAGCTATACAGTAGGTTCTCATTAGTTATCTATTTTATACATAGTATCAAGTGTATATATGTCAATCCCAATCTCCCAATTCATCCCAGCACCCAAAAAGCGCTTCTGATTGGACTCCACTGCAATAAAACGTCCTGCACGTGTGCTAAAAACACCATCCATATAACCATCCTCTCGCTCACCAGCTCAGTAGTTACTCCTCTCCAGGGATGGGAACAGACGGCAAGGCGGGGGATTGGGGTGGCGCTGGTCTTGAGCTTTGCGGTGTGGGGGGAACTCGGGGTCTTCCGTGTCTGCGACTTGCGGCGCCCTCAGCATCTCAGGTTGGTCTGAAGGACGCTGCAGCGGCCAGCGCACAGGGAGGAGTCAGGCCTAGAGGTTAGCCTCCGAGAGGGCTGAGTCGGGCTGTGGGGAGGGGCCTGTATGGGGGTGGGGTCCGGAGGGGACAGTCGGGAGGGGGCGTAGCCAAGCCCAGAGACTGGGCTCCAAAGGGGAGTGAGTAAGGCTGGGGGAGGAGCCTCTGGAGGGGGCGGAGTCAGGCCTAGAGGTGGGGCTCTGAGGGGGACCAAGCAGGGGGCGGTCCGGGAGCCGAGGGCGGTCCCTACGGGGCGGACCCTGGGGGGCGGGCGGGGCCCGACGGGCGCTCTGGGTGGCCAAGGCCATGAAGCCGCAGCCGCCGGGGTAGGCCCCGGGCGGCTCCAGCCCCGGGCGGCCCGCGGAGGGCTGGGCCCAGCCCCCGGCTCCGGTTCCCAGGCCGGCGGGCGGCCGCTCAACATGCCTGGCAAGCACCAGCACTTCCAGGAACCCGAGGTCGGCTGCTGCGGGAAATACTTCCTGTTTGGCTTCAACATCGTATTCTGGGTGAGAGCGGGGTGGGTTCTGGGCCCTGTGCTGGTGGGGATGGCTGGAGAAGGAGGCTCAGTACCCTACTAGGGGGAGACACTCTCTGCCACAAGGGCTTGGGACCGTCCCCCCACTCCTTCCTCCCATTCGCACCTCCACGCCCACCCCCAGGACCACCCAGGGGGAGGCTCGGATTGCAGGGGATGGGTCCCAGCCACTGCGGTAGTTGGGGGGGGGGTAGTCTTCCGGGGTCTTCCCGAGGCCCGGCGGAGAAATGGGAGGTGTTTCCGTGAAGACCCCACGGGCACGCTTAGTGCGGGCGCCCCCTCTCCCTCCCAGCCCCCTTGCTACCCGGGGGTGTCGGGGATACGCGGAGCCCCACCCCTGGTTTTACCCGTAGGGAGGAGAGCCTCCTCGAAGGACGGGATCCCGTCTCCTGCCCCTTTACCTCTCCAGTACCTGGGCCTGCTGCCCTACAAAGGGGGAGGGTAGGTCAAAGGTCGAAGCCCCACCCCCACCCCAAAGAGGATTGCGGGCTGGGAGGGCCAATCGCCCTAGTTCTCGGCCGGGGACAGGGGATATTTCCTGATGAGAGGCCAGGAGAGCTGACCCTGGGGAACAGAATTCAACATCCACAGCTGACCAAACCGAGGCTCCAGGGCGGGGCTACCACTGTTTGGAGAAGGGAGATGCTGGTGCCCCTCCCTGGGTGGCATCTGTAGCCCTGGGTCCCACCAAGTCATCTTTCCCTTCTCCCTCCCCATCCCATATCTCCAAGGCTACTTGCTGCCTCTGCAGTCTCTGCTTCTGACGTCTTGGGTCAGAATACCAGACCCATTCAGTTTTGTTTAGCAGGACTCAGTGGCACTGCCCTCTACCCACATGCTGCTCATGCAATGTGGGTGTCCTTTGGCCCCAGCAGTGCCCAGCCTCGAGGGTGTGAGCCATGTGCAGAGAGCACTAGTCAGGGAAGTCTGAGGCTCTGGGTGAAGCAGGCCTAGCTGTGAGACAGTGGGCAAGTCACTTCTCTCTGGGCCTCAGCTTCCCTGGCAGCAAGTGGGTGATAATGAAGCCTGCCCCTCAGGACTGTTATGCAGATTAAATGAATTATAACTTACTGTATTCTTGCAGCTACTTTATTATCTACATTTAACAGGTGAAGGAACAGGCACAGAGAGGTTAAATCTTTTAATCCAGAGTCACACAGCCAGTAAGTGCAGAGCCAAGGTGACAGCTCAGTGGGCAGTAGATGGAGGTGAGGCAGAACATTAAGCAGAGGGAGGCCCCGGATGTCAAGGGGCGAGAGGCATGAGAGACCCAGGCTTGTTCCAGGGTCCCCCAGGATGGGGAGTCCCAGTGTGAAAGGCCCCAGGTCTGGGCAGAGAGTTTGAGTTTTATGTTGAGGGCAGAGGGTAGCACTGAAGGCTTCAGTGCTGGGTGATGGGTATGTTCTAGCTTCTGTTTTGGAGGCAGATCTGCCTGGCTGACACGGGGAGGGTGAGTGAGGGGCAGGGTTTGGAGGTAGGGAGACGAGGGAGGAGGGCTGGGGCAAAGTTGGGGTGGTAGCAGGTGGGAAAGGTGAGGAAGGCTCCAGGGGAAGCTATGAGGCTGAACTGACAGGACTGGGCCACTTGGGGGTTTGGTTTTGGGTCAAGGTGGCCTGAAGGAGGTACCTGTGAAACAGGCCCAGAGATTTTTTTATTTTAATGGAAGGCAGACCCTTATGTTACCCTGCTCAGAACCTTCCAGTTTTTTCTCACTAGAATACAGTCCAGACTCCTCCCCATGGCCCACAGCACCCTGTGGTGTCTGGCCTTGCTGCCCTTCAGTTTGTCCCTTGCACCGCCAAACATGATCTTACCTCTGGGCCTTTGCCAGTACTTCCGCCTGGAATTCTCTTCTCTTCAATGCACCTTTTCATCATTCAAACCTCAGCTAAAATGTCACCATCCTCCCTAACTGAAACATGCCCCCACTACCCTATTAACTCCCCATTTCATCACCCTGTTTGATTTTCTTTAAAGGCTCTGTTGGTATCTGAAATTACCTTGTTTGCTCACTGTGGATTTCCCCTACTGGAGTGTAAACTCCATGAGGGCTGAGAGCTCATGTGTCCTATTCCCTGATGTATTTCTGGTGCATGGAATGGATCCTGGGACATGGAGGCGTTTGCAGCAGGCAGGTGGACTAAGGGCTCTAGAGCCGGGGGGAGGTTTGGGTGGAGATCAGGAGATGCCAGTGTCACGATGGGGTGAAAGATGAGTGTGAGAAGAAGAAGGGTAGAAGGCTGAGGTTGGAACCTGGCTGGGGAGGGGGATAGCCATGTGCATGGCGCAGGTGAAGCAGAGCATTGTAGGAAGGAGGCTGAGAAAGGGCAGGAGGAGGAACGGCATTGTGTGAACCGTGGAGAGGTTTGGGAAAGAGAAAGTAGTGATCATTCGCCTAAAGGCCATGGGCGGGTCAAGTGGGATGAGGCAGGAGAAGTGATGTTTGGTTTCACATCCCAGATCCAGTGTGGGGGAGGGAAGGAAAAATATTTCTAGAAAAAGAGTACAGCAGTGGGCGGAGCCTGGGGTTGGAGAGGGGAAGGTGCTAAAGGTGGCAGGTCCGGGGTGGAGCTGACTGAGGCTCTGTGCTGAGGGGAAGGAGCCTGTAGAGAAAGCAGGTGGGAGAGGGAGGTCTGAAGAGGTGGGGTCACGGCCTTGGGCTTGGGCCAGAGGGGCACTCTCCCTCTGAGACTAGATGTCCTGCCCGGGTTCAGGCAGCTGCCCTTGATATCCAGGGCTCTTCCCAGTACGGAAATGAGGTGGGATAGTGGGTGGTGTTTAGAAGGCCTAGGCTGGTACCCCTCTGCTGATCTGGGGCTGAATTGGGATTCCCTGTCATTTAGGGGTCTTTGGCTGTGAACTACAAACATGTACTCTGCCAGATAGAGGTTGAAAGGGTGGGACGGGAGTGAGGTGGCAGTCACAGAGTTGCAGGGCAGCAGGAGGACCAGACTTGGGAGGGGGCAGAGAGGATGCCAGGAGCCTGGAACCCTAACATAGGCCTGGGGTGAGAACAGAGGCTCAGGAAACAGCTGCTGCTGCTTGGTGGAAATGTTTTGGCCATCCTCTGCTCCAATTCTGAGTTCTAAGAAGGGGCCCGCCTTTGTCCGTCTTAGGGCTGGGGACGGTTCTGTCTTCCAAGCTGTGTCCTGTGGTAAGAAACACTGAGATGAATTCTTGGGAAGATTGAAAGGACCCTGAATGTAAATTGATACAGCCACTATGGAGAACAGTATGGAGGCTCCTTAAAAAATTAAAAATAGAACTACCATATGACCCAGCAATCCCACTACTGGGCATATACCCTGAGAAAACCATAATTCAAAAAGAGTCATGTACCAAAATGTTTATTGCAGCCCTATTTACAATAGCCAGGACATGGAAGCAACCTAAGTGTCCATCAACAGATGAATGGATAAAGAAGATATGGCACATATATACAATGAAATATTACTCAGCCATAAAAAGGAACAAAACTGAGTTATTTGTAGTGAGGTAGATGGACCTAGAGACTGTCATACAGAGTGAAGTAAGTCAGAAAGAGAAAAACAAATACCATATGCTAACACATATATATGGAATCTAAAGAAAAAAAATGGTCAGAAGGACCTAGGGGCAAGACGGGAATAAAGATGCAGACCTACTAGACAATGGACTTGAGGATACGGGGAGGGGGAAGGGTAAGCTGGGACAAAGTGAGAGTGGCATGGACATATATACACTACCAAACGTAAAATAGTTAGTGGGAAGCATCTGCATAGCACAGGGAGATCAACTCCGTGCTTTGTGACCACCTAGAGGGGTGGGATAGGGAGGGTGGGAGGGAGGGAGACGCAAGAGGGAAGAGATATGGGAACATATGTATATGTATAACTGATTCACTTTGTTATAAAGCAGAAACTAACACACCATTGTAAAGCAATTATACTCCAATAAAGATGTTAAAAAAAAAAAAAGGACCCTGGATCCCATTTACAGCCCTTTACCCTCTTTCTCTCTTTCCCCCTGGCTTCCTGAAGACCCTGAGCAGTAGGGGGGAGGGGGCTCTGCTGGGGGTGGGAAAGGATGCTGGTGCCCCAGCCCTCAGCTCTTTGCTGCTGCTCCTGCAGGTGCTGGGAGCCCTGTTCCTGGCCATTGGTCTCTGGGCCTGGGGTGAGAAGGTAAGGTGGTGGGGTAGGGTGTGGGGCTGCTCTGGGTCAAGATGGTGGGAGGGTCAGCCCCCCCACCATTTGCCTCTGTTCGCCCTTCACAGGGTGTTCTCTCCAACATCTCGGCGCTGACAGATCTGGGAGGCCTTGACCCCGTGTGGCTGTTTGTAGTGGTAGGAGGCATCATGTCAGTGCTGGGCTTTGCCGGCTGCATTGGGGCCCTCCGGGAGAACACCTTCCTGCTCAAGTTTGTGAGTGCCCTCCCACTGGGGATCCCAACCTTCTCCCACCCACTTCTTGCATAGTTCATGCTTAATAATGGTAGTTTTATTATTATGTTATTGTAACAATGATCACTAGATTTGTATTCTCCACATTTATAGTATCCTTTCTGTTGTACGGGACCTAAACCTAGGGGCCTAAGCTAAAAGGGCCACTAAGAAAGCCCAGGGGCATGTTAGCTGCCAGCGCATTTGGATCCAGGAGCCACCACAGTGTCACTTGTCCTAGTCGCTCTGTTTCTCAGCTCTGTCCCTCTGGGTTGGCTCCAGTCCCCTTGGGGTGGAAAGATGTCCAGGAATGGGTGGGTGCTGGCTTCAAGCTGCCCTCCCAGGAACTCCTGCTAGAGGCTGAGTGAGGCTCTCCCTTCCCAACCATTCTGCCCAAGTACTTCAATTGCATCTCCTTAGTCCTGATTGGCCGCCTCTGGACCAATCCCTGCGGTCACAGGGGAGGTAATGCTCTGGTTGGTGGGATCTTGACGCATGCCCAGTCCTCTATGTGGGAGTGGGAATGGGGAAAGAGGTGGAGGTGGCTCCTTCGGAGCCGCAGAAACTGAATGTGTGTGGAGAGTGGTTTCTCAAAGACAACAGGGTAGGTAAGAACAGCACTATCTTTTTTCATCATAAAACAATACTAACATGATAGAAGGTGGGGACTCTGGGCTGTCTTGGGTCGGGGTGCAGGAGGTTGGAGCCCCACCCAGTGGCAACCCCAGACCCTGTACCTCTGACCCCCACTGTCTGTGTGCCCCCAACCCCAGTTCTCCGTGTTCCTTGGCCTCATCTTCTTCCTGGAGTTGGCAACAGGGATCCTGGCCTTCGCCTTCAAGGACTGGATTCGAGACCAGCTCAACCTCTTCATCAACAACAATGTCAAGGCCTATCGGGACGACATTGACCTCCAGAACCTCATTGACTTTGCTCAGGAATACGTAAGTCCAGCATCCAGCTCTGACCACATGCAGGAGGCACCTGCCGGGCAGATGAATGAGGGAGCAAGCTCCCTGTGTGCCGGGTCTGTTCCCTCGCCCACCAGGCCAGGCAGGCCCCAAGGAGGCGAGCCAGGAGGGCCCCTGTCTGAGAGGAAGCCAGCCCCTCGTGATCTCCATGTGCCTAGCCCTGCATGGGCACAGCATTGGGGAACAGAGGCCAGAGGATCCAAACTGGCAGCTCCTAGGCCAGGCTTACAGAACACTTAAAGGAGGAAACGTGGCATAAAAATATAGATTTCTTCTACTAAACTGGACCCACAGTATGGGCTGGCGCTACATTGCCACTGCCCCCTTTGCTGGTAGAGGGACTGTTTGCCCCGTCCCCGCCACTCTATTTTATTATACCTGTCGGCCCTCTTCCCTCATTTATATTATTCGTTTGGCCTCTGAACATATTCGAGTTTGAGACCCACCCCCCAGAAGCTCTGCCCTCAAGCTTGCAAACCTAACCCCTGTGAAGAAGCAGTCAGTGAACAGTTCACAAAATCCTAGACACCTCCCGCCTGCACATTCTCACCCACTCACACGCTTAGAGTCCTACTCCTTTGGTGCCGTCCACCCCAAGAACTGCTCTGGGATCCAGAGGTGAACCGGAGCCGGTGCCTGCTTTGAGGAGCTCTCAACGCAGGGCAGAAGTAAACAGAGAGGCAGGTGGTTAGGATGTGATTTATTTGTTCATTCAACACAGAATTGTTATGGACCTATTCTGTGCCAGGCTCTGGGCTAGGGGCTGGGGATTCAGAGGTGAAAAAAGCTGGGACCTGTGTTTGTGGGGATGGTAGTCTGGGGGAAGAGACAGATGATAAAAGAGCAAAACAAACAAACGTGTGTATGTGTGTGTGCATGTGCGTGTGTGTGTGTAGAATTATAAATTGTGGTAAGGGCTGAAATGGGGAAGCTCGGAGAAGGCGAAGGCCTCTCGGGGGCAGCCTTGAGCTGGTCCCTTGAGGGCCAGCTTTTTAGCAGCCTGTGCCATGTCAGTGAGTTAAGGCTGTGTGCTCCTGTCTCCCCACTAGATCATGAGCCCCCTGCTTCATTGCAGCCCCACGATGTGCTGGGTAGGGGTAATGGTGATACAGGTGCTGACAGCAGCATCTGTGAAGTGGAATGGGATCATTGTGAGGGTGGCAGGATTGCCCTCCTGTCCCCGCAGAGAGGAAGAGAGAAGGTCTTCTGTAAAAATCGCTGGGGCAAGTGTGGGGAGACGGGTCACAGATGTGGGGTTTAGTGGTGCCTTTCCCCACAGGGTTAGTTGAAACTCGAACCCGTCAAGGTGGCCTGGAGGAAGCCACAGTCCTTGGGCCACTATCCCTGCCCCCTCCCTTCCTTTTCTCAGCCTCTCTTGGACTAGGGGACAAGCTCAGGAGCCCCTTCCTGCTCCACCCAGCCCCCACCAACCCAGGCAGGAGCCTCAAGATGCTCTGGTGGCCCTGAGCCCAGGCCTGGCCTGTCTGTGGCGGAGCTACCTGCCCGCCTGGCCGCCTCTAGGCCCCCTCCCGGCCAGCCCAAACAGGATGGGGCTCCTGGGCCGGGCCTGGCTCACCTGGGGTTCTTCTCCCACCCCCTAGTGGTCTTGCTGCGGAGCCCGAGGGCCCAACGACTGGAACCTCAATATCTACTTCAACTGCACTGACGTGAACCCGAGCCGGGAGCGCTGCGGGGTGCCCTTCTCCTGCTGCGTCAGGGACCCTGTGGTGAGTGAGGCCTGGTGAGGAGGGGTGGGCCTCGCAGTTCGCAGGCCCAGTCTGGGAAGAACCCATCCCCGGGCTTGCTCTGCACCACCCTGCTCTGGGGGCTGTGGATGTGGATGTCGGGGGAGGTCAGCTTACATGGGAGTAGCCCTGCGGGCTGGGGAGTTTGTGTCCATGGGCAGTGCTGAGGCATGTTGGATAGGGGCTGCTCCTCTTGGGCCACCATGCTGGGGTGGCAGGGTTGGGGGTTCTGACCCTTTTATGGGTTTCTTTAGAGCAGAAGCTTCTCTCGGTGACACCCCTCCAGTCACAGTGCACAGGGACAACGAGGGCCAGGTTTCTTCCCATTCTTACAAAACTCGAGCAGTCAGGGCTCCTAAAACTGAAGCAGTTCAAGCTGGTGTTGTGGCCATGCGCCCTGGCATCCGGGAAAGAGGTGCACGGGTCCCAGCCAGGCTATAGCTTAAGGAGCGATGGACGCAGCGGAATCCACGGTTCCATCTGCTTCCCCTGAGACCCCATGGATGCCCCCCTACTGAGTTGCTCACTGGCCTGTTTCTTCTCAGGAAGATGTCCTCAACACTCAGTGTGGCTACGATGTTCGGCTCAAACTGGTGAGAGGGGAGGGGACAGGGCTGGGGGCAGCTGGGGGCACTGGGGTCGGAAGGAGGGGCTCCCCTATAGGCTCTAGAAGGCCTCAGGGATTCGGGGGAGGGGATGCTGAGTCCTAGGAGGCACGCAGGGCTTGGTACTGCCAAACACAAGGCAGTGGATTCCACTAGAGGGAGAAAATGGTACGACATGGATAAAGAAATACAAACAGTAATGTGACAATTTCAGCTAAGCACTTGGAAGAAAATAAAATCAGAGAAGTGATGGGATTGGGGCAGGGCAGTCAGGGAAGGCCTCTTGGAGGAGAAGCTATCTGTGTTGAGACCCCAGTGAGGAGAAGGCCCTGCGGTGGAGCTCCAGGCTGCAGACACTAAGGTGTAAGGTCCTGGGCAGGGCTGAGCTTAGCAAGCTGGACGGAGATGGGGCCTACAGTGGTGGTGGGTGGGCTGAGCCGAGCCTGGTGCCCATCTGTCCCCAGGAGCTGGAGCAGCAGGGCTTCATCCACACCAAAGGCTGCGTGGGCCAGTTTGAAAAGTGGCTGCAGGACAACCTGATCATTGTGGCGGGGATCTTTGTGGGCATCGCCTTCCTCCAGGTACCGCTGTGGCCCTGCATGCCCTCACTCTGCCCTGGACAACCTGCCCTGCCACTGGCCTCTCCCTCACCTGCTCTCCGTCTTACAGATCTTTGGTATCTGCCTGGCCCAGAACCTCGTGAGTGACATCAAGGCAGTGAAGGCCAACTGGTGAGGCTGCCTCGCTGGCCATGGCCACTCGCCTGGCTGACCCAGGGACCCCCCCCCCCCACCCCCCCTGCTCTTGGAGGGGAAGCTATGTGTGTTGAGACCCCAGTGAGGAGAAGGCCCTGCGGTGGAGCTCCAGGCTGCAGACACTAAGGTGTAAGGTCCTGGGCAGGGCTGAGCTTAGCAAGCTGGACGGAGATGGGGCCTACAGTGGTGGTGGGTGGGCTGAGCCGAGCCTGGTGCCCATCTGTCCCCAGGAGCTGGAGCAGCAGGGCTTCATCCACACCAAAGGCTGCGTGGGCCAGTTTGAAAAGTGGCTGCAGGACAACCTGATCATTGTGGCGGGGATCTTTGTGGGCATCGCCTTCCTCCAGGTACCGCTGTGGCCCTGCATGCCCTCACTCTGCCCTGGACAACCTGCCCTGCCACTGGCCTCTCCCTCACCTGCTCTCCGTCTTACAGATCTTTGGTATCTGCCTGGCCCAGAACCTCGTGAGTGACATCAAGGCAGTGAAGGCCAACTGGTGAGGCTGCCTCGCTGGCCATGGCCACTCGCCTGGCTGACCCAGGGACCCCCCCCCCCAACTCTCCCTGTGATGGGCAAGGCTGCAGGAGATGTTTCTGCTTGGACCTGAACCCCACATGGGGCTTGCGTGCCTCTGGGCTGTGCACCCATGGAGAGAGCTGCATGGCTCTGCCCGGGCTGCCTGTCCTGTAGCTGTGTGCACGGAGGGTGGGTGTGGCCAGTGGATGTGCACAGGGAGCTGCCATCTCAGCTGTTGTTGGGTGGTTGGCTCTCCAGGGGACTAGGAAGGGCACAGCTAAGAGGGGGCAGGCCAGGTGGGGTGGGCTTGGGGCCTGCTGTTGCGTGGGACACAGCTTCATGCACCTCAGAGCTCTCTCCACTAGCTGTGACCTTGACCCTGCCAGGAGCCCACTTCAGCCTCAATGTCTCAGACTCTAAAATGGGTCCAAGAGTTTTTCTCTCCCTTGCTTGCCTCTCAGGATCAAACATGATGATGGCTACAGACTACTCAAATAAACAAAACCTTGAAAACCACTGGCTTCCGCCCGGCGTCTTAAAGGTTCTGTCAGCTGCAGGTTCTCAGCAGAGCTCTCCATCTTGGGCCCTGGCCTGGAGCCATCCGCCAATGTGTTTTCTTGGCCTGGGTAGTATATACATTTGAGCCAACCTTTAAAACTTGGTGTATTTCGTATAAAAGTCCAGATCCCCAGCTTCTTGTGAAGATTGGCCATCTGGCCACAGCAGCTCTTGGGACATCGTCTCCTGGGACATGTGCTTCCTGTTCTCTGAGGGACCCACCTGGCCTGTGCTGCTCACCCTATAGGTTGGGGTTGGCCTCCCCACTGCTGTAGGGTTTTTCCCTGCAAACACCGCGAGGCTGCCGTGGGCTAAGCCTGGGGCGAGGCACCAGAATGTGAAGAATGGGGAGGCTGGACCCTGCCGTGAAGTGAAGAGGCCACACAGCCTAGGAGGAGTCCAGCCACACTGGAGACTGAGATGGGTGCCCAGGAGAGTGGCTGAGGGGTGGAATGGAGATCAGGAATGTTTGGGGAAGGAAATAGTTGGAAGTTGAAAACTTGGCACACATGGGGTTGCGGGGAGCCTGCTTTGGGACCCATGGTGGTTGACGCAGGGCCTCACTTGGAATCGAATCGAAAATCTTCATGGAGGCCTGCAGAGCTGCCTCATGGCCACCAGAGGGCGCACCAGCAAGCTTTGCCTGGGTCTGGCTGCTTCGTCCACAACCTCACTCTGGTACAGCCAAGTGCCTGGTGTGTCCACCCAGCTTACCAGTGCTTTGGGTTCAGGGAATTTGAGAACTTCGAAAGGAGCAACTGGCTTAGACTTGTGAAGTCTGCTGCTCTCAGCTCTGCCTCTTAGCTGCATGAAGGGGTGTGTGTGGAGTGACTGCCGCACCCATCCCTAGGGTGCCCTTTGTGGATAAAAAGGGATTTGGGCTGGTTCACAGATCTCTTATTCAGATGCTCTTAAGGTTGTATAAATGAATGAAGTAGGCCTTTGACTTGTGAGGTCTTTGCAGTGCAACTGACTTCCCTACTGTTCCTGAAGACTACACAGAAAGACATGGCTTTATGATGAAAAATATTTGGACCATCAAGTTGATAATGGCAGCTGACCTTGAGGTGCAATAGAGTGGTGGGGACTGGCAAAGTACAGGTCCCCATCTGAAGTTGGTGGCTGTCATTTAGTTGTGGCTAATTGCTATAAAGTGGGAATGCAGGTCTAATGTCAGAAATCTGGAGAAGCCAGAGATCCAGGCTTTTATGTGAAATATCCCTATTTTTAAGGTGTTGACAACTAATGAAAAAAAAAAATGCTGCAAGCCCAACAAAAGAGGAGGGAGCCAGCTTTGGCCCCTGTGTCACTACAGTTCTCTCTGGGATAATCACCCATTGGGGTCCTGGCTGCTGTGCCATTCAGGGGTGCTGGGAGCTGCTGCCAGGAGGGGAGGGTGTGGGGTATGCATCCAGCATTGTAGCTCCCAGACACAGGCTGGACAGCGTCCTGGGGTCCCTGACAGGTACCAGTGCAGTACAATAAATGCAGCTCACGATACTGTGCACGTCTTGCGTTTTTTAATTTCACAAGCTTTTACTTTTCATTTTCCCCCTCAAACCTCACAACCCCCTTGTGAGATGGAGACTCTTTTCCTGATGAAGAAACTGGGCTCAGAGAGGGGAGCGAGTTGCCCACCACACAGCTGGAGGAGGCACCCAGGTCTGAGCCTTCTCGCCGGAGTTCTGCACCAGACCCGTCCTGCCTTTCTGATGCTTTCGCGTGACACCTGCACACTTGAAGTGTGAACCAGTAAGGGACAGCAAGGGATCGTTCCCCAAGCATGAGTTGAGCTTCCACATGGGTGCTGGGGATGTAGAGGAGAGAGAAGGGCAAAGTCCCAGCCCTCATGCTGCATTCTCGTCGGGGGGACACAAGTAGGCAAATAATCATTTTTGTTAGTAATATAAGCTATGAAGAAAATAAGAGTGATGGGCTAGACAGTGATGGCTGGAATGCCTGTGGGAAGGGACCCCTTGCTGGGGTGGTGGAAGGAGTCCCATATCTGGGAAGCTCCAGGGGAACAGTGTTTCAGGTTTTGGTACCAGCTGCCCTAGAGGCCCTGAAGCTGGGTAGGCTTGGCATAAGGGAGGCTGGGGTGCTGGAGGGGTGCGAGTGAGTGAGGGGCAGAGGGCACGGACAGAGGGAAGTGGTGGAACCAGGATATATTTGGAAATAGGACTGATGAGATGCATGGGAATGACTGGAAGGAGTGGTTGTGAGCTTGGCTGCGGACCCAGAGTTCTCCAAAGCTCAGTTCTGCTACAGGACATCCATCCATCCATCCACTCAGGTAGGCCCTGGCTGGAGACTGGGGTTGCTGGGGCAGCTCAGACTTGCCCTTTCCCTCCCGGAGCCCACGGTTTCCTGGTAGAGGTAGTGGTACAATGTGTATGTGGCGACGAGCACATGATGATCACTGCACGTGGCGTTTCATGCTGGTGAGAGACAAATCTCCTGTCCCCAGAGTAGAACTTGGAGCAGTTCTTTTCCTTGGACTGAGGAGCCCTTACCCAGATGGGACCTCTCTGGATGTGTAGAAAACACAAGGAAGCTTATAAGCTACCTACTGCCCATCACACTAGGATCCCTGGGGCATGGGCACCAAGGTCACCCTCCCACCCACCGTCAGGGACACTGGAGGTGACAGGGGTGGGCATTGTCTTGCAGCCTGGGAGACCCTCAGGAGCCATGGGCCTACCTAGTCTAACCAGAGGAGAGGCTGCCAGCAGCTCCCCTATCATCTTGGCAGGAGGGCATCTTCTGATATCAGGCTACCTTGTGCGTGGGGGGAGGGCGGGGGGAAGAACTGGAAGGGACAGATTGAGCCGGACCATTGAGCCCTTGGATCTCTGGACGAGGAGGTCAGATGGGCTATGGAGTCCGGGGCCAGGGTTCACTTCCAGAGGGTGGCTGGTGCATGCCTTGGAAAGAGACACTCCCGGCGGCCTCCAGAGGGCACCAAAGCGCAGCCCACGCAGGCAGCAGAGTCAGCTGTGGGCAGAGGGGCTGTGGGTCGTTGGAGGGAGGTCCGCGTGGCTAAGCAAAGACATGCCACCTTCCAGAGACCTGGGGGCCCACCCTGTTGGTACCAAATCCAGACCTTGCCACCCTCTGCTTTATTCTCTGAGGACTTAGAGCAAATGACGCTGCCTGCCCCACAGATGCCTCTCCCAGTGCAGTGCTCAGGGAGACCTGAGCCCACCTTCCCATCCCTGAAGGCAGTGATGTCTGCCAGACAGAGCTGGGAAGGGGGTCACTTTCTCTAGGAGGTTGAAGCGACATGCTCCAACACATACACCTCCATACGCTCATTCAGCCAGATTTACTGAGCACCCAACTGTGCGCCAGACACTGTGGTGGGCACTCGGGATACATAAAGGAACAAAACGAGACCCCCATCCTTGTGGTGCTTACAGTCCAGATCAGGGTCGGCAACCTTTGTCTGCAAAGGGCCAAACAATAAATATTTTAGGCTTTCAGGTCATACAACCACTCAACTCTGCCTTTATAGCAGAAAGCAGCTCTTGACAAGACAAACGAATGGGCTTGGCTATGTTCAAATAACATTATCTGGACACTGAAATTTGAATTTCATTTAATTTTCATGTGTCACAAAATACTACCCCTCTTTTGATTTTCGACAATTAAAAAACATAAAACCATTCTTTTACATATAGCTCTGGAGCTGTGTAAAAACAGGCAGTGGGCCAGACTGGCCTCACACACAAGTTGGTATAGCCGCCCCCCACCGCCCCCTCCCCCCAGGAGGGGAGAAGACCAGGCACAGCGAGCCTCACTGCTGTGGAAATATGAGTGAGCAAGGGGCCTTGGGAGTGTAGGGGCTAGGTCAGGCCTCGGCACTAAAGAGGGTGGCCGGAGGGAGCCTTGATGAGACAGCAAGATGGAGCAATGACTTCTTATATTAACTTTAAATCATTTTGGTAGCACAGGTGAAAATAGGAACCCAATCTGCTTAAAAAATGGATGGCTCTAAGGTCCCCTTACTGCCCTATTCTATTCCACTCCCCTCTCCCAGTGACGTTGAAGCTGTGAGCTATAGATCCCTCTGGACCACTTACATTTTAAAAATTTCCTCCTCATATTATGCACTCAGAGACAGTGTTCAGCATCGTGTGTATGTGTGTTAAGTGGCGGGATACTGTCCGCATCTTGCTGGGCTAGCTTTTCCCCCACCGCTTCCCACACACACACCAGTGATGTGTTTTGAAGACAGAGTCACATTTGTGCATGTAAAGCTCCTTCATTTCTCCACTTCGGGGGTGTTCCCTGTGGGGATAAGCCATGTTTTGCCTCTCCGTCCCTTTCCTTGACTGTCGGTGGATAGTGGACAGTCAAGCTCTTCCCACTTCGGGGCTCTTTCCGCCACAAGGCTCTGGGGAGAGACACAGCCAGGCCTCCTCTCCTGGGGTTCCAGCTGGAGCAGCCACTGTTCACTGCACAGGACGAGGGCTACAAGGGAGGGTGGCTCCAAGTCGGGGCTGATAGCAGAGGTGGCCCCAGCAGGTCCCTTCCTGTGCCTAGGGGCATCATTTCTGCTCCTCAGCCCAGGCACCGGCCTGATAGGCTGCATTACCACAGATCTGGGGCCTGGAACTCAGCCCATCAGAAGTGTGAAAGCCACACAATTAGCCCCTTGGCACTGTGAAGGCTGTTGCCACGGTAATGCCTCCCTGGTCCCTCGTGCAGCCATGCAGATAGATGGGGACATCAGCCTCCTGCATACAGAGGGGCCTGCGCTGTGGCCTGAGAGAGGGTCCTGCCCTTGATCGAGGCTGTTATCTTAGGCTCCTGGAGGCCTGGATGCACCTGGACACCTGGGTCCTGCTTCCAGGAATGATCCTCTAGGAAGTAGCTTTCCAGGTCTGCCTCCCACTGAGGCCAAATGCTCCCCAGGCTGCTCCAGCATGCCCCGTCCCTAATCTGTGGGCATCTCCTGGGAATC